AAGTTGTTGAAATAAGACCCTATTTCATAACCGAAAGTGCTCGACTAGGGTCTTATTTCAACAACTTAAACCTAAATATAAAAAAAACTTGCGAGAAAGCAAGAAAATACAGAAAAAAAGATTATTAAACGGAAAAGTTCCGTAGTCTTTGACAACACATACCTTAATATATATATATATATATATGTGTGTGTGTGTGTGTGTGTATGTATATATATATATATGTATATATATATATATATATATATATAAATTAATTGATTTAAAATATGTTTTTTTTCGCTACACTGTTTCAAAAATGGAAGCTTCAGGATGAAATGGAACTAATATCTTTAATTTAATTACAAAATTAAATTTGGGGCTTTTAGCTTCCATTTTTGAAACATGGTTAGAACTGTGTAGCGAAAAAAAACATATTTTAAATCAATTAATTTATAATATTAATGCTCTGTAAATTTACATTGAGCACTATTTTGTAAAAATAAAAAATATCTATAAGAACACCGGATTATATATCTTACTGTTCTTTCTTTATATATATATATATATATATATATATATATATATATATATATATATATATATATATATATACCAGGAGCACCGGCTAATTGAGTTACGTTTTTTTTTCGATCTCTGGCCATCACACTGGGAACAAAGTGTAGTATCTGTTCTTTTCATTTTTAATGGTAATGATAATATTTATTTCCTTATAAGCCAACATTTGGTATTCATTGCTACTGTCGTTTGGAATTTATAAAATGTTTGTGTTAAAAGAGTTTTTTCATTCAAATGCATTTCACATGTTTACTGTTATCGCTGTTTCCAGTATTCAGAGGTTTTTCCTTCCAGACTTTTTGTTTGAACTTCTGTGGAATGTTATGTCAAATTCTTGTCACTCTTCTTAGACAGTAATGCCAATTTTACACCGTAGAATTAAAGAAAAACCTCTTGAAAATCGAGATAAGGCAGTTCGATTTTACACTGCGAAATTTGTTTTAAAACGTCATTATTTTGTCACATAAAGTTTATTTCAGATTTGACTTCTATATTAATGCGATTCCTAACAAAAACTATATTGGTGCTGAAATTTAATTTTTGATGGGTAATTTCTGATTGCTTTCTGAAAGATATTTTTTTTTTAAAAATGCTTTTCAAAGCGTACTATTTTAACGAAAAATTTTTTATTAAGAACTTTTTAACTCGTCTCCCAAAATTACTGAAACTTTAAAATTTTGAAATAGGCCTCCATTTCTAGCCCTTAGTTGCTCCCTGAGTAACTCTGTAGTATAGAATGCCATGAAAGACAGAAAAGAAAAAGAAGTTGACCGTTGTGACATACATATTTTTATCCATTGCTTTGAGACTGCTTCATGGATAAATAAGAGCATTTCAGTAGAGTGTGTGTATGCATATATATATATATATATATATATATATATATATATATATATATATATATATATAACCCAAATAAATGAATAAACAAATAAACGACTTCCGGCAAAATAACCGCCAAAATAGACTACCTACAATGCACCACTGACCCGTATATATAAATAGCCGAGAAAAATAGCACCACTCGTGGCCTGACGATTGCATCTAGCATGAAACAGACTGTCGCCTCTAAGTGTTGACTTCAGTGTTCACTTTTATATTTATACGCTCCATCTCTGATATTGAGCACTTTATCCCATAAATATAGCACATCTTAAGATTATATTTCTGCATATATATATATATATATATATATATATATATATGTGTGTGTGTGTGTGTGTGTGTGTGTGTGTGTGTGTGTGTGTGTGTGTGTGTGTGTGTGTGTGTGTGTGTGTGTGTGTGTGTGTGTGTGGTGTGTGTGTGTGTGTGTGTCAAATCGAAAATGTTTCATTCAAACTAGACTTCATCAGATCAAAAACGAAAGGAAGAAATATGTGCGTGTGTGTGTGAGTATTTGTGAGTATGCTTAAATATTAAATAAATATTAACGGCTTTTCTACAAAGGTCGCACAATTCCATTCTTTTCTTTCATCACGGGGAAACGTCATCTTAGCGGACAAAGTAATTACGATTTATTATTCAAGCATACACACAAATACACATAAACACATTTCTTTCTTTCGTTTTTGATCTGATGAAACCTAGAGTGTTGAAAAGCATAATGTAGTTTCAGCTTGTCATATTCTTCAAATTTTGTCTGAATTCATCCTATTTTACGCTCACATACATACATTAAGATATCTCATCAATTGTCTTTGTAATATATTTTTAAATTGTAAAAGAGAGATTCTTTATATATATATATATATATATATATATATATATATATATATATATATATATATATATATATAATACGTATAGGACTGGTGCATACGGAATAAATTCCAATAACCAAAACATACCATTGTTAAAAGAGTGCTCAATAGAGAGTAGAGCAAATATATTCATTTATTCGAAAATTAGAACATACACATGTTATAAAATCACTACAAAAATAGCCATTTTGTTTCAACACTTCTGGTGTCTTATCAAGTAATGGTGTTGAATGTATAATAAAGGTTTTAAAAGATTCAGATCAATCAAACATCCCTCGATAAGGGAAACGCTGTTACATAAGCTGGAATGACCAATCAAAATACAAGTATATGAGAATTCAAAAAACTTGAAAACAAACTTAAATTATAGTAATTATTTAATGCATTAATGTTAGGGTTAGACTAAAATAGAATTTATTCTAACTAATAAATATTAAATTATACCATAAAATTAAAAATTACCAATTCCAAATTTTAAATTTAATCTATATTAAGTTTAATTTTATAAAATTATTTAAAGAAGAAACTGAGAAAAAAAAAATATGTTTGGTTATTTATTTTGTTTTTATTGAAATTAAGTTGGAATAAACGTTAAGATCTAATGCTATATATGAATATATATATATATATATATATATACATTTATATATATATATATATATATATATATATATATATATATATATATATATATGTATTTGTATGTATGTATATATATATATATATATATATATATATATTATATATATATATATTAAAGACAGTAAATCTCTCCCTGATATATATATATATATATATATATATATATATATATATATATATATATTTCTCTCGTTTGGCCTAAGTGATATATATTATATATATATATATATATATATATAAATAAAAAGTTTCTTAGCCAGTTGAAATAAATCACATCCAATTTCAAAATTTAATTACGTAATCCCCACTCAGTATAAATAAACAGTATTTGGAACTAGCATCAAATAGATCCGCCATTTTCTAGTTTCAGTGCTTGTATTCGATTTTTCATGGATTTGATCAAGTGATCAACAATCGTCTGAGCCATATTTGGCCACTCCTTTAGCAATGTTTCTTTTGGTTGTACGCTATCTTTTCAGTCAAGGTACTCCCAAGCGTGTTCTATTGGATTCACGTCAGGACTTTGGGGTTAGCCATGGCAGTGACTTGATTCCTTGGGATTCCTTCCAGGCCTTTGCTACTTTGTTCGTATGACATGGCGCTCCATCTTCTTTAAATGAGTAGACATTATTGTCAATCTGATTGTTTTCGAATAGTGGGAGTCGTCCTTTCTCTAATATTTGATAGTATTTTGGATCATTCAACCGCTCGTCAACAACTATCAGCTCAGATTTCCCTCCAAACCAGATAGCACCCCACACCATTACTCCAGTCCCTCCATGTTTCATGGTCGCCTGCAGACATTCAGTGTCCCAAGTCTTATTCTGATTTCTCCAAACATAAACCAATCTCGAACGCGAATATTGGCAGAATTTACTTTCATCGGAACAAATTACAGACTGTCAAAATTCATAAGCTTTGCTCTCGAATTCTCTTGCCCAGTCCAAACGAGTGTTCCTGTTAACCTCTGAAATCAAGATCTTTCTTGCAAGACTTCTTTGATAGCCTAGCTCTTTCAGAGCCTTTCTCGCCGCATATGGTGACATTTCCATGCTGTTGGCGACATCTTTCACGCTCTGACGACGGTTTCTGATGATTTCCCTATTCAGTGCCTTTTTCGTTCGCTCAAGACATGATTCTTGGTCTTCGTAAAGTTTTGGTCTTCATATTTTTGAACGAAAAAATATTACCAGCAATACATATTTGAAGGAAGAAATATTACCTACGTAATATATATATATATATTTATATAATTTATAACTTTTTCATAGAGCATGGATGACTTATAACATGACGAAAAAAAGTGGTGATACAGAAAAGTGAAATCACAAATAAATAGCTAAAGATGCCTTTCAGAAAACAAGCAATGTATTAAAAAAATACCAGTCTGTGAAAAGTGTGCTGAACAGCAACATATATGATAGCCATTGCTGTACAAACTTCTCACAGATGTGGAATAAAACAGAACTGATGCGCTCCTATCGAAGGATGCTAAGAATACCATTGACAGAACATGTGACTAATGAGGAATTTTTAAGGAGAATATGAACTCCAAGGAATCTTATGCTTAAAATCAGAAAGTATTAGCTAAAGTTTCTGCGACATAATGAGGAAGTAGGTGATTGGTTTGTTTTTTACGGTCTATCAACTATTTGTGTGTTATTTTGAAGCTTATCAAGATTTTGGAGATGGTGAGGGAGTATTATATTAACAATGATTTTTTTCAGCTCCTAGTATGTCACTCATAACTGGAGGAGGAGAGAGGATTCCCAAAAATATTTGCATTTAAATGAATCTAACGAACTAGACTAGAATTCGAGTTCATTTCATAATGAGGAAAAACGGCTTGGAGAATTTAAAACTCACAGTATATAATGCAAGCATAAGAAGCAGGGGAAAACGATTAAACTGTCCGACGCGTTCGAGTGAGTGAATAGATTGCAAAAAATATATGATGAGGTGCGTAAAGGGTCAAAAGTTATTTAGAGTAACTAAAGAGATGAAGTTGTGGAGAGCCATGATTCTGAAAGGTCATAGAACAAATAAGAAGAAGAAGAGAGGAGGAAGGAGAGAAGAAGAAGAGAGGAGGAAGGAGAAAAGAAGAAGAAGAAGAAGAAAAGAGGAGGAGAAGGGAAAGAAGAAGAGGAGGAGGAGGAAACCGATTAAAAAAAAAACTCTTTTCCTCTTTGCTAGCAGATTTAACCCCCATGTCCGTTACTGATGCCGGGAAGTCTGGCAAAATTCGGTAAGATTTATAAGAAAGGATGGGCATTTGCTATTAAAGGCACCACTTGGCCCGGGTGTGCCAACAGCGGTGTCGCAACTGTAAGACAACACCAGCGTCACATTGATGTAATCAACGTCTGCTGTATGACACAGCCACACCGCACCTTCGCCGTCACACCGCAGAAGACGCAACGCGTACCATCTGATTTAATTCTTAAGCATTTCTTTCATGCCATACTATCGATATTTGATGACAATGTTTATTGCGTTTACAATTATAATGCTACAGGAATAGCTCAGTGGTGCGTGATATCGCTGTGGAGGGTGTTTTTTTTTTATTTATCGTCAATATATCGAGGATATTACACGGGAATATACACACGGAAACAAACGGAGGCAGGCCTATCTATCTATCTATATATCGATCTAATTCAACAAGTTCACAACTATCTATCTATCTAATTCAGCCTGCTCACATCTATCTATCTATCTATCTATCTATCTATTCTAGGCCCGGTGGCTAGGATCAAAGTGTAGTATCTGCGCTTTGTGAGCTGCCGGGTCGGGTGTCTGTCGAACTCTTTGCTTGCAGAGAGGAACCCGGACGAAGCTCCGCCGAAGGGTGGGGTTTCGTTGGGGGAGGTTGACGGAACTGGCCCGCCTCGGCGGGTTTGGATGGTTCTTTATTTTTGGCTGGGCCTACGGGCTCAGAGATAACCACATTAAAAAGGCCTTGTGCCACATTCGATCCCCGTGGGTGGATTGTTAAATAACATCTATCTATCTATCTATCTATCTATCTATCTATCTATCTATCTATCTATCTATCTCATTCTGTTCCTATATATCTATCTCAGTCTATTCCTATCTATCTATCTATCTAGCTATCTATCTCAGTCTATTCCTATCTATCTATCTATCTATCTATCTATCCGTCTCTTTTCATATCAATCTCCCCATATCTATCTATCTATCTATCTATCTATCTATCTATCTCATTCTGTTCCTATATATCTATCTCAGTCTATTCCTATCTATCTATCTAGCTAGCTAGCTATCTCAGTCTATCTATCTATCTATCTATCTATCTATCTATCTATCTATCTCATTACAGCGTGTGACACGATTTTTGCCCTTGGATAGCAACGGTTATTTCTTATTTATATATCTCTATCTATCTTAGTCTGATCAGGTCACCCCCCTACGTCTGTCTTTCGAAATGTTTCCCAACCCTGTTTCCCTCCCTCTGTCTCTGTCTCTCTGTCTGTCTCTCTGTGTCTCTGTATATATATATATATATATATATATATATATATATATATATATAACCTATACTTAGCTGACTCTCTATGAGTAACTTTCTCTCATTTGCCTTAATAAAGTCTAAATATATATATATTCATATATATATATATATATATATATATATATATATATATTGACCACTAATATTATATATATATATATATATATATATATTGATATATATATATATATATGTATATATATATATATATATATATATATATATATATATATATATATATATATATATATATATAGTTTTATATAATATAATGTAATTTGATTTTGATTAGGTGTCAAAAGACATGGCACCCACCGAGCAGAAACCTTCGTCATGCCAAGTTCTTTGTGCAGAATATTCTCATGGTATATGCTAATAGCTTTAGTTATTTGATTTATAGTCAATCATCTGTCATACATCGCCAATCATCTGTCATCATCGGTGGTGGCAGTTTCAGGACGTCTAGGTCTTTTGTTATCTTCCTTACTCTCCAAAATTCAGCTACCCACTTTTGCACTGTTGTTAAGACTGGGGTGTCTCCCTCCAATGTAGCACAGCTTGTCATCACTTGCGGGAAAACCCTTTTTTTCTGCGGGTAATCGATAACACCTTATTTTCCTTCCTTATGTGCCGTGTGTGGTGCTGATGAAACAAGAACACTTTCCTCTTGATAGCCTTTTGTAACTGCCTCAGCAAGTTGTCAAAGATGGCACGGCTCTTTTGACAATAGTCAATAAACACGTATTTTGCATCTAAAAAAAATGAGACCATCATTTTCCCTGCAGATGAAACGACATTGGCTTTCTTTGGAGCAGGTGAGGAGAGGGTGTTTCCACTGCATAGATTGTCTCTTTGTCTCTGGCTTAAAATGATGACCCCCCAACACTAATCCTGGATTAAGGAACATGCAAGGGAAACTGCTGTATCTGCATCAAACAATATCAGATTTTCCCGTGATGTGATCAGTCTGGTGCGCTTTTGAACACGTGTTAGAAGACGTGGCAGCCACTGAACAGAAACCTGCGTCATGTGCTAAATATTTTCAACTCTATCACGGGATATTCTAATAGCATTGATTATTTGATTTATAGTTAATCGCCTGTCATCCATCATCATCATAGCTCTCATTTTCTTGAAAAAAAAAAAATTTCCTCGTTACTCACGTATTCTCTAACCAGTAATTGTGGCAGAGTAACCCCCCACAACCTCCAAGCCAAGATTTTAGTAGTCTACGAATAATGGTTTATGTCTGGAGTAAATGAATTACGAGGGTCGGCCGAAAAGTTCATAGGCTGACCAAGATACTCTCATGGAATGTGATCAAATGAGATTTATTATTCGACACACTTCTTCCGTCGGTTTTGTAATGCATCTCATCAATAAACAAGCTGTCCACATCTAAAATATTGACGGGACACTATATTATCTCTTATTTTTTTAATATTGTCACACACGCCAACTATGTAAATGCTTGTTAAGTCTTTAATCGTTATAGCTGATCCACATACGATCGTAGAGTGACGATCCGGGATTTGCGATAAATATAAATCAATTGAAATTAGAATGAAATAAATACTAATAAATACTTCTTTTAGATACTACATCAGTGCAGGGCGTGGATGATCATGGCCCTCCAAAACATCCTGACTTTTATTGCTCTTGGTAACTCTGTGACTAATAGTGTATTTTCACTTGCTTCTTTAGTATGTCACGTGAGCGTTAAATTCACCAGACCGTCTTTTCTCATTCTGCATCCCAGAAATGTCTCATTCTGATTGGAATATAAGTTTATTTGTTATCCTCATTTTCTTTAAAGAAAATAACTTCCTCGTTGCTCAGGTATTCTCTAACCAGTAATTGTGGCAGAGTGACCCCCACTTCCCAGCCCCAGGCCAAGATTTTAGTTGTCTACGGATAATGGTTTATGTCTGGAGCAAATGAATTACGAGGTTCGGCTGAAAAGCTCATAGGCTGACCAAGATACTCTCATGGAATCTGACCAAATGAGTTTTATTTTTTAATATAGTCCTCCTTGCGGTCCACACACCTTTTCCGTCAGTTTTGCACTGTTTGGATCCTTTTGGTGAAGAAGCTTTCAACCCGTTAGTAAAAAAAAATTCAAAGTAGATATGACGTCATAATCTACATTACGTGTTCTCAGTCAAGTGTGTTTTTTATATTGGGAAACAGATGATAGATGAGGTCAAATGGGGAGAATATTCTGTGGTAGGGGGGTAATTAACCCGTCCAAAACCACTGTCTCATACAACAATTATTGAAACCAAGGTCTTGTGGGCTGGAGCATTGCTCTGATGAAACAAAACCCCTTTCATCCATTTTTCTCTGCGTTTATTGTTGATAGTCTTTCATAATTGTCTCAGCAAGTTGTCATCATACACTCCATTGTTACCATGGCTATTTTGACGATAATCAATAAACACAATATCTTTGAGCTCAAAAAAGAAAATGAGGCCACAACTTTCCCTGCAGATGAAATGACATTGGCCTTCTCTGGAGCAGTAGAGAAAGGGTGTGTCCACTGGACGGATTGCCTCTAGGTCTCTGGCAAAGTGATGAACCCAGCACTCATCCAAATCTGGGTCTGCCTTAGATTATGTCAGATTTTCCCGTGATATGATCATCCTGGTGCGCTTTTGGCCAGGTATCAGAAGACGCGGCACCGACCGAGCAGAAACCTTCGTCATTCCAAGTTCATTGTGCAGAATATTCTAAACTATCTCAGATGGTGTGCTAATAGCATTAGCTATTTGATTTATAGTCATTCACCATCATCTAGTAAACACGATTAATGTTTTTTTTTTCTCTTTGGAGACAGTGCTGGGCGCCCAGACATTGGGTCATCTTCAAGATTCTCCGTTCTCCTCCTAAATTCAGCTGCAGAGAAATAATACTGATTTAGTCTTACTAATTAACCCATAGTTGGGGAATAAGTAATGGATTCATACCTTTTTCAAGGTTATTTGCGCGTAAGTGAATATAACGAACCCAATTAATAATTCAGAGGCATTATTCATTCCACTATCTGCTGGTCGTAGGGAAACCGGTGATTCACGTTAAGCAACGCCGAGCCTGTTCAATACCTAAATGGGTGACCGCTTGAGAATATCAGATGCTGTAAGCTTGGATGTGCAGGTGGTATAATGGATAATCGGGGAGCCGAGTTCCAATTCCAGTTGGGTTCGTTATATTCATTTCCAGGTAAATCCCCTTGGGTAAAGTATGAAAATAATAACCTTGAATAGGTTAATATTGTAGTGACCAGGGAAGCATCCTCTTGGGAGTGGTTCCACAAAACAGCGATTCGTGGGAAGAAACTACTCGAGTGGAACTTATATCTCACCTGGGGAATACAAATGGAATGAGGGTCATTCGCTACAATGGGCGTGGCAGGATGGGTCATAGCTGTGAAGGTTAGGACAAGTAGAACTAAAGATCGTATTTCATCTGAACACTTGCCATGGAAATAGCGATAGAGAACAGATAGAAACGTTTTTTATTGATTCATTCATTTTCTACGGTTTATCGACCCATTGCAGGTTATTTAACGCTAAGAATATTTTTTCTATAATCCTGATTTGGTGGTACAAGTCTTACTAATTAACCAATTGCAGGGGAAGAAGTGATGGATTCATGCCTTTTTAAAGGGTATTTCCACGTAATTGAATATAACGAACCCAACTGGAATTGGAACGACTCCCCGATTAAAAATTTCGAACATTTATCCATTACACCACCTGCACATCCAATCTTACCTGGTATTCTAAAGTGATGTCCCATCTAGTTATTGACTAAGCTCGACGTTGCTTAACGTCAGTGATCGTATGAGAACCCGTGTTTCAATGTGATATAGATTTAAGCTTTGACTATCCACTATAATAATAATGTTTGAAATAATAATTATTCTTATTTTTATTTTTATTTTTTTTAGAAAAGGCAGTGGGAAGCCATGTGACGTCAGTAAGAAAGTGGCTGAAGCCAAGATGCCAGGTCAGGATCAATTATATTACAGACCCTTCTTTCAATTTTGCCACGAATCTTGACGTATACAGTTGGAACATCAGACCAGATATGGCAGAAATATTCAATGCATGGACGAATGGTAGATTTATAAAGCTGACAGGACAAACAAAGCTGATTCTCTATAAGACAGCGGTCCCTGGCTGCTGATATCTGCAGGATGTTACAGAAATCATTTGTCAATTATCATCTTAACAAAGAAGGTTAGCTGAGTGAAGCGGACCGCACAAGGAAACAGTTCAAACGGCGCTGACAAAGTGGGTCAGCTTAGTGGGGCAGACTTGAAAGCTGACAGGACAAAGAAGGCTGGCTTTCTAAGCGGTTCCTAGTAGCCTAAAACAGAGGACTGTTCACTCACGGCGCTAAAAAGAAGGCACATGCCGGTTAGGTCGTGCGCTCACTCATTCAGCAGTATTCAATGCACGGATGAATGGTAGATTTATAAATGTGCAAGATGGATTCTGACTAGAAAAATGGTCTGGCACGACACAATGGGTCATCATTCCGAGACAATGTAACCATTCCTCTTCAGGTCTGTGGAAAACGTGAGACCAAGGAGAAATAGGTTGATCTGATGGAGGCTAACATCACAAATGCAAAAATGGTTCTCTATGCTGATTACGACTAGTGAGTTCAGTCTTTGCTGGGGGCTCTTTACTTGCGGTCTTGTGTCACACCTCAGGTATGTATGCGTGTGTATACGTGCGAGGGAGTGAGAAAGACAGACAAGCATCAAAACAGGGAGTAGGACAAGAGAAAAAGTCAAAATGACAGAGAGGTATAGAAGAGAAGACATGAGAAAATACAATAATGAATTTACTTAACTATCTAAAGAGCCA